CTCCCGAGCCTCCCCGCCCCCCGCGCCTCCTCTGCCTCTTCCTCTGACTCAGCCACGTCATCCGGCCACCCCGGCACACGCCGGAAGTGCCTCGCGACGCGGGGCCGCAACCGCCGCCGGCCGAGGGAGGGTGCCGCTCCGCCTGCCTGCGCCTGGGGTCCGGGGAGCGGCGGCGAGACTGGCCTGGAGAGCGCTCCGGAGGGCGCCGCGCCACCTTAGTACCCTGTGGCCTCGCGCCCCACGCGATAGCTTGGCCGGCATCTCAAGGCCGAAGCTGCCCGGGACGTTCCCGGCCCTTCGGGTTGTGTGACCTTGGCCAAAACACTTAGCTTTCCCTGGCTGCCAAATAGGGCTGAACGTCTGACCAGCCGCCTCTGGAGCTTGAAGGATCAGATCAAATAACCCTTTCCAGGCACTCGTGTACCGCTGTAAATGAATCACGGGCTCCTACGGTTATCATTATGAGAGACTGTTAAACTTGCACAGGGTTGGATAAGTGTTTTAAAGTCACTGAATGTTTATTGGACACTGTCCCCCACGCACACTATTGGATCAAGAAATGCTGGGCTGGATTGAAATCCTTGTTCATTTATTCATTTACTTAGAATTTGTGGTCTCCCATTCACAGTCATAAATACGCTTTGGAATGTAGGTAGGCTCCTCAGAGTACCTAGAACAGTACCAGACCCACTCAAAATATTTTAAGAACTCAAAAATATATATGAGTGTAGCACCACCATCTACACAGTCCTCTAAGCCAAAAATCTGGAGCTTGTCCGGTTGGCTCCCCAACCATAAGCATTCAACAAATTTCTAGCATTTGGTCTCTTAAAAGTTTCAAGAATTATTTTTTCCTCTCTTGCCAGTATCAGTCTTCCACATCATTGTACATACTGCATCAGGATCGCTGCCGCTGATCTTTCTTCCCAAAGAAGAAAGAGAGGTCCCAGAGTGATGTTTCAAAAAAGAAACCAGATGATGTCACTCTGTTGTTTAACACTTCTTGAATATTAGGTAAATAAATCACCTAATCACCACTAAGATTCTTTCATCTGCCAGCCACTATTGTGAACTCTGCATATACTGAATTAACTCATTAAACCCCCCACAAAAACCCCTGAGTAAGTTCATGTTACAGACACCTAACTGAGGCACAGAAAGGTGAAGTGGCTTGCTGAAAGACCTGACCCAAGCAGTCTGCTTCCATAATCAGTCGGTCCACTGCTAATGGTCTCCCGACTTCGTACAACCATTTTTTAAAATGAAATAGGTACATATTGGAATGGAAAGATGTCTAAGAGTTACATTTAAATTTTAAAAGTTGAAAAAATAGAGTAAAATTTAATGTTAAATGGTAATATGTTAGTCTACCTGTAGAAAACAGTCTGAAAATCAATGAGTCAAACCTGTATCAATGGTTAACTTAGTACTTCGTAAGTGCCTAAAAATGTTCAGATGTTTTTTACAGTGAGCATATGCTAAATATGTAATCGGAGAAAAAAAGTTCCTTGATAAAGTCCAAATCATTTGCCTAACATGCACCTGCATAATCAGACCTCAATTTACCTCAACTTTACCTCTCACTAATCTCTACACTCTGCTTTCACTCTTATATTTCCTAATATACCATGTTCTTTCATGCCTGCAGGCCTTTGCTCTTGATAGTCCCTTTATCTAGGATGCCCTACTTCTCATCGTTCATTAGATATTACCCTTCCAGGCCTCGCCGAATTATCACCTGTTCGGTGAAACCTTGCTTGATGCCCTTGGGAAGTTGAGCATCCCTTCTTTGGAATTCCAATTGCATTTGGCTCGTTATGATATAATTACTTACCTATTCACATTTCCTCTTCTATATTCTGACCTTTTTTGATGGAAGGGACTATCATTTGTTTATATATCTATCCCAGCTGCTGGCATAGTGCTTGTCACATCATAGATATTCAACAACTATTTGCTGAATGAAAGAATAAAGACATTAACAAATTAAAAGTCAAATAACATAGCAGGATTTAGGGAATGCTTTTTAGATAGTGTAAGAGACATCATAAGGCATGATTAATTGGGGAATGAATCATACACCAGTAATTGCTATAGAAATCAGAGGAGGTATTTTATACATCTTTGTATATCCTCCAGAGCACCTACCATGGTGACTTGCTCATAGTGGAAGCTCAGTAAATACTCTTTGAATGAATAATCACTGCTTTTGAATGAAGTGATGATGGGCAATTGAAGAACAAGCAGTATAAGTGCTGCATTAAGATGGATGAGTCGTTTCTTGCTTAAACATCTATCACCAGCCTCCACAGACTTGAGGTAGTATGCATTTGCTGTGTTTATAGGGTGCACCGGGCTGGCAAACGCTTGGAAGTAGAGAGGGCACAAGAAGAAGTATAAAGTACTCATTTAGGGAAGGTAGACTTAAAACTAGGAAACTTGACTCACACAAAAGAGAATTGGCATGACAGTGTACAAAAAAGAACTGCACAAAATAAAACCAGCTGTGCAAACAATCAACAGGCAGTGAGAGTAATGGGCAAGGAGAGAGGGGAAAGAAACTAGTTAGTGGAATACTTGGGGGAGTGTAATGGAAGGAAAAGCAGGTAAGACCATTCATGCCACTACTATTTTTTGAACATCTACTGTGTCAGGAACTCTGATAGGTACTAGGGGAATGACACTGATAAATGACATCAGGTAGAAGAAGTCTGGTAATAGTAAAGTATGGAAAGAGGGAAAAGGAGATCAAGTAACTGAGTAAAGGAAAAGAAGTGTGGCTTCAAAAATCCTTGAAGCCTGATGACCTCAAGGCTACAAAACAGGGCTCAAGGGTACTATCAAAATTAAAGTTGTTTCACCAAAGCAAGGAGTGAAAAACATTGAAATATCTCATTTCACCAGTTCTTTCATCTAGATTGGTGACCTCATTCCCTCAAACCAAAAAAGATGAAGGCAAAATGCCAATGAAAGGAGATTTCTACCTCCTCTAATGTCTACATAGTCCTTTTTTGTAACAGTTCTAATAAGATCTGATTTTCATGAAAGAGCTTATGACCAGTAAACAATCCAGAAAAATCACAATGTCAATCTTTTATTTGCATTGATCATCCCTTTTACCTCTTGGGGTACAAATTCACAACATCTGATTTCCATCACCAACTACCTTTTTTTTTTTTTTAAATTCCATTTCTTCTTTCTACTTTGTTTTGTTGGTCTTGCCAGTTATTTACCGCAGAGGGGTGAGAGGACAGTCCTTTTATTCCTATTTGACACTTTCCACCCCCACCTTTTCTGTCTTACCTGAAATGTTCTATACATAGAAGAACTTCATGACTACTCTGAGTTCTTTAAGAAGCCATCACTTGGCTTGGTGCCTGTGGCTCAAGTGTCTAAGGCGCCAGCCACGTACACCTAAGGTGGCAGGTTCAAATCCAACCCAGGCCCACCAAACAACAATGATGGCTGCAACCAAAAAAAAAAAACCAACTAGGCATTGTGGCGGGTGCCTGTGGTCCCAGCTACTTGGGAGGTGGAGGCAGGTGACTTGCTTGAACCCAGGAGTTGGAGGTTGCTGTGAGCTGTGATGCCACGGCATTCTACCCAGGGGGACAGCTTGAGGCTCTGTCTCAAAAAAAAAAAAAGAAGCCATCACTTAAGATATTTGCTTCTTGGATGGAGAAACAACTAGGGCCATCAATTTGTGTAGTTCCTATTTCATTCTCTCACTTAGTTTTTTTATCTGATGTGTCACAACAATGAGACTACAAGGAACAGTAGCTGCCACATAATAAAAATACCCCTGCCAATTAGGTGGTGACTCCAATAAGACTGTCTCCCTGCTTCTTCAGAACAAAGGATTCCACACTCTTTGCCTAAGACTTACAGAGTTCAAAGGACCTGGAGTGTTACCAAACACACAACTCTCCACTTCGAGGATAAGGAAACACTGACCAGTGTAGTCAAGTTATATGAACTTATCAAGATAGTAGCACACCAAAATAAAAACTAGGTTCCCTGACTTCCAAACCAATGTTCTCTTCCCTACACTATGTGTTGTCTCCCTACACTATGTGTTCCCTACACTGCTGCGTAGATAGCTAAGCCACTGTCTCCTGTATCATGGGTTAAATGGGCTTTGGCTGGCTAGTCTAGGAATTCATTTTGTTTCTATAAGAAAATGAATTGCAAGTGGTGTCTTCAAATTCAGAATACATCTTACAACTATATACTTATTCTCTCACCACCCTGGTGAACATAGAATCTTGACAGCAGGGATGAATGATAAAGATCATTTTATAGTCTTCATAACTATAATTTTGTTCTTGGAAATGAACAGAACATAATTTATTTATCAAATCAAAGCAAATATGTATACAGGTAGACTCCTAAAAATTGAGAATTGATATTTAGAATGAATCTCTTGGTATTATCTAAATTAGCCACTTGTCTTTTTCAGAAATAAATCTGTTATTAATGCTTCCTCCGTGAACCAGCTGCAAAACTACACCCTATTCTTTGAAGGAGGAGCATGGAAAACCAACTTAGTTCCTGGGCATATGGGAAAAGGATCTAAAAATTCCAGTTATTGAGATGACATAGGAGTGACTAGGACCTCTCTCATTTAATAATAAAACAAAAAAGGAGGGAATGTAACTTTGCTTGACTTCTAAAAATATTCATGGATGTTATCTATAGACTGCCACTTTGCACAACTATGGCAAACATTAGGGATTACTCCCACATTAAATATGTCATGTTAAATTATTTGATGTCAACAACAACCTTTTGTTCATGGTCTCTTAGTTTCATATTTTGTTACATACACAGTTAAATTATCTGCCCTCAGGTTTTAATGTAAGATGAAGGAAGAGTGCTGGCCTAGGAATTAGAAGCCAATTTACCTTAGGGATAAAGGCTAAGGCAATGAAATTAACAACAGCCTCACTTTCTAAGGAGCAGTAGAGCTGTTTCCCAAGCACCCTGTAGGAAACCTTTTAATAGTTTCTTTGGACACTAGCTTATAGTTTACTTTCTAATCCTCACTGTATTGAAAATCCATGGTTTGATAACATAATGTTTTCCTGAAAGTGTGTACAAATGCACTGAATATGTGGAAATTGAATAAATTTATGTTATAAATGAGTGGTTCTGTTTCTAGAGAATGAAAAATTTCACCTCACCATTCCAGGCCTTCTTTGACAATGCAGCCCCAGGGTTTTATTCAAATTCTTCCCTTTTCTATTTTCACATACATAGTATAGTATAACCAACCAGGCTGGATGTTCAATGAACCACCAGTGAGGGTTAAAGACCTGCCTCTTTGGACTTGGCACGGGTGTTTGCCCCACCCATGTTTCAAGAGCGTCACATTCATGAGACCCAGTCTTCTCTTAAGCACTTTCAATTTTATGTTTTCTACTTATTTTCACATAAGAATATAATGCAATAAAATAGTAAAATATTATACAAACAGTGATGTATATACAAAGATGGCTAACACCATTACCTGGTAATAGGTTTTGCTGTATTATTGATCTGAATGATTGTTCATCAGAGAATGTACAAAATTCTAAATTTGGCATCAGAAGAGAGCTTACAGGTACTGAATGTTAAAAAAAATGTTGCTTTTATCAAAATCAAGTTTGCTTAAGATAGGGACTAGAGATTACCTATAAATAACAGAAAGGACAATCATACCACATTGTTAATTTCTTGTTCTCCTTATCTCACATTCCCCTATTTCTCCCAAATAAGGGGCAAGGAGAATAAATGGACCCCTGAAGAAACACTTGCAGAATAGTTACTATGTGCTAGGCCCTGTGCAAGGTAATTTGTACAAACACTCTCACAAAAGACAAGGCAAATAGTGTATTTTCTGTCAAAAACTAAATAAACCAAAAATTGTCCCAAGATTCCAGACATTGTTAACTTCAATAACCGTTTTTGTTTGCTGGACTAAGGGTTAAGATTGAGAAAGAGCCTTTAACTGTTCAAAAAGGACCCTATAAAACTGTACTTAAGTGGATCACGTTTCTGTGTGGGTAGAGGATAATTCTACAAGAAACAAAAGACTTCTGATACTTTTTAAAGAAATAGTTCTGATACTAATTTTACTGTAGGTTTAGGTATCAGTAAGGACCCATGCTTTGAAGGTAGATTTATGTGCCAGATACTCAAAATTCATGACATATTTAGGCTCTACAGCCTCTGCACAAATGGATTTACCAAACCTGGTGTTAATAATATGAAAGGGAAGAGATAACTACAGTCCTATCTTGGTATCTGTGGGGATTGGTTCCAGGACCCTAAATACCACAATCCACAGATACTCAAGTCCGGTACATAAAATGGCATAGTTTTTGCATATAACCCATGCACATTCTCCTATATACTTTAAATTATCTCTAGATTCTCTATAATACCTAACACAATGCCTACATATCACTTCATTTATATGCATTCAACATAATACTTGGCATGCAGCAAATTCAAGTTTTGCTTTTTGAAACTTTGTGTAATTTTTTTTCCAAAATATTTTCAATCTGAGGTTGGTAGAATCCACAGATATGGAACCCACAGATGTGGAGGGCAGACTGTATTTTTAAGTTCTTTCTTCCTCTTCAGCTTTTTCAGCAAAGAAAAAGTTAAGAATCCTCCCTTCTCTCTTTATGACCAGAACTAAGACCTATAAATGATATAGAGCAATAAATAGGGTCTCCGGCACCCCAAGCTTCTGGATCCCAGGCAATTTTAGATGTTCTCTGGCAACCTAACTGTTTTGAAACCATACTGAAATATAAATGCCCAAATTGAAAAAAAAATACTTGGTAGCCTCATGCCTACCAGATAGGAAAAAAGGAAATTTCTGGAGGACCACTAGTCAGTCACTGATGAATTTACACATCTGAGCATTTCTTTTTTTTTTTTTTTTAATTACTTACTGATTTTTTTTTTCTTGTTGCAGTTTTGGCTGGGGCTGGGTTCAAACCTGCAGCCCTTGGTATATGGGACTGGTGCCCTACTCCCTGAGCCACAGGCGCCGCCCCATCTGAGCATTTCTTGAGGGAGAGAGGGACTGGCTGTTTGGAGATGAAAAGTATGATGATCTAGAATCAGGGGACCCAGATCTCGACCTACCTCTTCATCTAATCAACTGCACTCTCTTGGTTCCAGACTTCTGTGGAACTTTAGATTTGCCTTCTATATAAGAATTAGTCCTAATCCCTCTCTAAAGTCTTTTTCAGCTTGTTGCTTGTAACTAGCCCTAGCACTTAAACACCGTCCTGAATATACATAAAAGTAGAAGAATTATTTAGAATTAAGACACTAGATCAGGCATAGTGGCTCACGCCCGTAATCCTAGCACTCTGGGAGGCCGAGGCAGGTGGATTGCCTGAGCTCATGGGTTCAAGACCAGCTTGAGCAAGAGTGAGACCCCCATCTCTAAAAATAGCTGGGCATTGTGGTGGGCACCTGTAGTCCCAGATACTTGGGGGGCTGAGGCAAGAGAATCACTTGAGCCCAAGAGTTTGAGGTTGCAGTGAGCTATGACACCATGGCACTCTACCAAGTGTGACAAAATGAGACTCTGTCTCAAAAAAAAAAAAAAAATCAAAAAACAAATAATTAGGCGAGTTCGGCACCTGTGGCTCAAGTGGCTAAGGCACCAGCCACATACACCTAAGGTGGCAGATTCAAATCCAGCCTGGGCCCACCAAATAACAATGACGGCTACAACCAAAAAATAGCTGGGTGTTGTGGTGGGTGCCTGGGGTCCCAGCTACTTGGGAGGCTGAGGCAGGAGACTTGCTTGAGCCCAGGAGTTGGAGGTTGCTATGAGCTGTGATGCCACAGCACTCTACCCAGGGGGACAGCTTGAGGCTCCGTCTCAAAAAAAGAACAAAAAACAAAAAACAAATAATTAGGTCACTTATCTTCTTACTTGAATACTATGAATCTTTTAACCACTTCTAAAAATTAGGTTAGACTAATATAAGTTCATTTCTGCAAAATCACTTGTAAAGTACATTTATGACCAATCATTTGAGGCTTCTGACTTGGCAAATTAGAGGTAAGTATTCTGATTAAGTCTTTATCCATTAAACAAGTATATGGACCAGTATACTTGGGGGTGGTGAATAAAGCCCTTAATTTTTCACTTCTCCATTGCTTAATAAAGTCTTCTTTAAGGAAAGCCCAAACCAGCAGGGCTGCAACAATATCAATAATGAGAATGGATCTTAAGGTCAGGAGTCATGCCGTAACTCTCAACATGAAGAACTCATTGACAGGCTGAAAACTGCGAGTCTTAAAGTCCTGGAGTAGGCAACTTTGGGGAGGTGGAATCAGCGACCTCTAGGTGGAACAGGTGGAGGAGGATGGAAGATCTCCCTAGTTGGAGGCCTGAAACAAAAGGTAAAGCAATTTTATTTATCAACTAATTTGATTAAATAGTTCTTACGTACTCACACTTTGTTGCAAACTGATATACCATGCAAATGACACATTCCTTAATTTATGAGACAAGACACACATACAAAGGTCTGAGTGACATACCTGCTAACTGTGGCTCACAATCCTGGCTGCATATTTCAATCACCAGTGGAGCTTTTTAAAATATCCATTCCCAGCCCCCATCCTAGACCCATCCCATTATAATCTCTAGAGGATAGGGCTCAAGCATCAAGACGTTTTCATATTATCCCTCCCCTAACCAGGTGCATTAACCATGCCTCTTATTTTCTGGTGCTTTTCTATCTTAGAGCCTTGCTGACACTGGAGGGACTGCCAGTTCTAGGGTAAGCTAGTTCCCAGAGATAGCAAACAAGCTGCCTGCCTGGGAGCATCAAGCAGGCCTTTCATATGCAAACCAAGCAATTCAGACCAGGCACCAACCATCACTTTTACAGGACTCTCATACCTAAGGCCCCTATCTACCTGCCCTTATCACCCCAGGACCAGATATCAGCTAACTAGAGACAGCCCCTATGCTTCAGAGCCTATGGAAATTATTCCAACTAGCCAATACTAAATCTGCTTATCCTGTTTCCTCCTATGGAAACCACAAGGAAAGCTCTTGTCCACATTTCCCCACCCCACCCCCAGCCTCCTCCTGACCAGCCCTGATACTTCCCCATGTGCCCCACCCATGGTGTAGGGTGCCCTTTCCTCTTGGGATCTGTGAATGTAACAATCTATTGTTTCTTTTTTTTTTTGAGACAGAGCCTCAAGCTGTCCCCCTGGGTGCCATGGCTTTACAGCTCACAGCAACCTCCAACTCCTGGGCTCAAGCGAGTCTCCTGCCTCCGCCTCCCAAGTAGCTGGGACCACAGGCGCCCGCCACAACGCCCGGCTATTTTTTGGTTGCAGCCGTCATTGTTGTTTGGCGGGTCCAGGCTGGGGATTTGAACCCGCCACCTTAGGTGTACGTGGCTGGCGCCTTAGCCGGTTGAGCTATAGGCGCTGAGCCCAATCTATTGTTTCAATGGCAGTTGTCTCTTGATCTGTTGACCTTACCCTACATAGATAATCATAAAATCAAGATTTTAAAATACCAGTGATTCTAACAGGCAACCATACAGGAGATACACTGTAGTAGAGAGGTCTATTCAGAGAGAAATTGAGAATTTCCAAAGTTTGCTTCTCACGACTACATCCATAGAGGATTATCAAATGTTACCCCAATTCTGTGTTTGCTTTCCTTGAAGCCTCCCTCCATGTTATTCTGGATGGTTTTTGAATAGTCCTAAATGACACTCTGGGAAGAAGAGGGTGAGTCTATTTGCAGATAGGTTTGACGATTACAGATGGCATTTCCATGTGTGTGCTGTAAAACCAATATTTAATTCTCTTGGAAGTAAGTCAATAAGTCAAGAAAGAGAGCTTTGTCAGGTGCTACAATTGAACTGTGCTACCCTGGAGCTGCATACTTGAGGATTGAATGAATCAATGAGTAAATATTTACAAAAAATTGAACTTGTGTTCAATGTCTCTGGAACACAAGTTTTGCATAGGTCAAGGAAATGACAATAGAGTTGGGGAAAAGGGGGCTATCTCTGGAACAAGAGAGGGAAACAGAATAGGAAAGGATAAGCACAGACAACCTCAAGAGGTGCTTCTCTGATCCTGGGAGGAGACGGTTTTGAGTGATTAAGCTTTATCCAGTGAAAACAAATGAATGATCTCCTTCCGGCTCCTCAGCCTGCCCTAGGCACCATGGCCTTATAGGAAGAAGTAGAAGGACAGTCAGGTGGTGCCACTCATTCCCTGAGCCAATTTAGCCTGCCTCCTGCCTTCTTTCTCTCAGCAAACATTTGTGTACTATATGTCTATTCCTGAGTGTGGGCTATAACAGTAAGTACAATGGGGATGGATTCAGCCCTAAAGATGCTACATCTGTGGGTAAGACAGACAATAGGCAAAACCATATTGAGCATTTTGATAGGGGGTGTTCAGGACTTACGGAGAACACATAGCAGGAACATTTATGTTCGAATCTTAGTGTGTTGCCAGGCACTGGGGTAGTAGAAAAAATTTAAAAATCAAAACTAGTTTCTTTCCTACGAAGTTCACCATTCACCTGAGAAGACAGATACTGTGTTTCCCTGAAAATAAGACCTACCCCCAAAATAAACCCTAGCAGGATTTCTATGCATTTGTTAAATATAAGCCCTGTCCTGATAATAAGACCTAGTGATGGGTGTGGCGATGCAATGGATGGGCGCCATGCGTTTTGGCAGGGAGAGGGAAGACATCCCCTGACAATAAGCCCTAGTATGTCTTCTTGAGAAAAAATAAATATAAGACAGATATGTACACAAGGGTTGCCGTGTGGAATGTATTTGGGGACCCAGAAGAAAATGATGATTCATTCTACATAGGCACATCAAGGAAGGCTTCCCAGAGGAGGTGATGTCTGGACTGAGTCCTGAAGGATTTTTAGGAGTTTCCTAAGCAGAGATTGGAAGGGAATAGGAAGACAGTATTCCATGCAAAAGGAACAACAGACTAGACAAAGAAAGAGTACTCAGAGGCACCGCTCATTGGGATTTCTTAAAGGGAGGAGCACAGGTAAATACAGAGAGGGGTGGGTCTTGACACTAGGCAGAGCCAAAGAATGTTGAAATATACAGGATTAAATTTGAAGGCTCTTATGCCAGGCAATGGCATTATCAGCTATTTCTGTTCAAGAAAGTGTACTCTGGCTGCAATACAGAGGAGGGAATGCCTGGAGGCAGCGAGGAGAGTGTGGGCCTTTGAGGATGAACTTAGGCACTTGCAGATGGAAGAGAGGATGGATCTGACAGCTGAAGGGCAGCGAATGGAAAGAGCCCAGAGACAAACTGGACATAGGAGCTAGGAAGGAGGTAGGTTGAGGATAACTTCCAGGTGTAGGGCCAGAGAAGGGAGGGAATGGTGCCACTCTCTCAGCCTGGAAGTGTGCCAGGAGAAGGGGAGATGAGTTCTGTTTTGCACAGGCTGTGTTTGAGGTATCTGTGGGCACCTGGGTGAAGGCAATAAGCAGAGTGAGCAGACGATGGGACCAGAACCAGGATAATAAGGATAGAGAGACAAGTGGGGTGGGGTGGAAGATGCACCTGTCAGTGGTCCTTGGTGGGTCAACAGAACTGGAGCAGCCAATGCCCAGATCTGAGAGCAGAGACAGGGACAGTGGGGTCAGCCTCCTCGCCTGTCTGTAAGCAGGTCAAGCATTGAAGCCACTTCAGAGAGAGGCCCAGTTTATTCTCTGCTCAAAGATCTCATTTTATTATAAAAATTGCATACGTGCAAAACAACTTCATACTCACAAATCTTTTTTCACACCACAAATTCACACAGACCCCACATTCTCTCAATTATAGACTTCTTTGCAAACATCATTTCCTCGGCAGAAAGTGTTTTCCTCCTTTTCTCTCCCCATGTCTATCACAACATGCTCACAAACTCCCCAAATAATTCATCTGCTGTCTCCATTTACATATTTACAGGCATCTCAGTTTCTATCCTTTAATTTCTAGAACTTGTTTCCCTGGTGGTTCTCTTTTTCTCTTCCATTAATAAAATCCCACAGAATCTGTGTAGCTAAAGTTTCAAGTTTGACAACTCTTTCTATCTTGGCACAATTAGACTGCTTCCAAATTCCTTGACCTTTGGCAATAAAAGGTCTCAGATCTTAGAGCTCTTCCCTTGATACCTAGACTTTCTTGGCTAGGTGTATCATAATATACCAGGTCCAGGAGTAGCCAGGCTTGCTGCACAGAGCCAGTCTCATCCTAATCTCAAGCCCCAGTTTCCACATCTGCAAAATGGGATAATAACAAATATCTACCCCTCAAGGTTGTGGAGAAAATTAAACGAGATAATATATTTAGTATTTAACATAATACTGGTCACATAGTAAGCTCCCAATAAATAATAGCATTTCTTTACCATAACCACTCTTGATAAGCCCTTTTCCCAAAATATATAATAGTTTCCAAGCAATGGAACATAATGCAGATTCAGGGGATTGGACTAGTATTGCGAAGGTTCCTTGCAGGACTGATTTTCTAATGTGTGCTTTCCAGGCTGCACCAGAGAAACAAGCCCAGTGAGTATGGTGGGGGATGTTGGAGTAGCAAGGGCCAGTACATAAATGTTGCTGGGAACACCTGCAAAGTGGTAAGTAACAAAGGGAGAAATAGAAAGATCCTTAGCACAGAAGCCTCTCTGACAGAAAACCAGAAAAAATGGCTTCTTTGTTGCACTTTCTCAACTGACTCTATCGATGAACTCCATCTAACTTTATTTTACTTCATTTCATTTCATTTTATTTATTTATTTTTTTAGAGACGAGGTTTTGCTCTGGCTCAGGCTGGTCTCAAACTCGAGAGCTGAGGTGATCCACCCACCTCAGCCTCCCAGAGTGCTAGGATTACAGGTGCGAGCCACCACACCTGGCATCTAAGTTTTTAAAAGTTTCAAAATGCAAAACAAAAACAAAAGGCCAGTCTGGGTGGCTCACACCTATAATCCTAGTAGTCTGGGAGGCTGAGGCAAGTGGATGGAGCGAGACTCATCTCTAAAAATAGCTGGGCGTTGTGGCGGTAGCCTGTAGTCCAAGCTACTCAGGAGGCTGAGGGAAGAGAATCACTTGAGCCCAACGGTTTGAGGGTGCTGTGAGCTGTGATGCCAGGGCACTCTACCCAGGCAAGAAAGTGAGACTCTGTCTCAAAAAAAAAACCCTGATTGAGAAAAAGCTTACTTCTTTATCATCCTCCTCTCCACCAACACACATACATTTTATTTTAAACATCAATGAATTAATCTCCTAAAACAAGCCTACATTTTTATTCCTAAGGGCTCCTTTCCACATTAGCAGCTAGCTTTGTGTACAGCTAGCTTTGACCACTTTTTTTGTTATTCCACAAGACCACAAAAAAGTTTCCACCAGTGGCCCAAATACCATATAAAAAAAGATGTCCACAGAACCCATTAAACTCTTTAGTCTAATGCTCATCCCCAAATCTCCATTCTTCCTCTCCTACATAAAAAAAAATGACTCACAATGATGAGTTCTCACTATAGGCCAACATCTCAGACCTCATGACTCTGTAGGGAAGTTCTACTATTATTCCCATTTTATAGAGCAGGAAATTGAGGTACATGAAAATTAAATAATGCGGCTCGGCACCTATAGCTCAACCGGCTAAGGCGCCAGCCACATACACCTAAGGTGGCAGGTTTGAATCCCCAGCCCGGACCCGCCAAACAACAATGATGGCTGCAACCAAAAAATAGCCAGGCGTTGTGGCGGGCGCCCATGGTCCTAGCTACTTGGGAGGCGGAGGCAGGAGACTCGCTTGAGCCCAAGAGTTGGAGGTTGCTGTGAGCTGTAATGCCACGGCACTCTACCCAGGGGGACAGCTTGAGGCTCTGTCTCAAAAAAAAAAAAAAGAAAATTAAATAATGCATGCAACTTCTGCAAGTGGCTGCTGGAGATGTGACCCCAGACAGGGACTGTGGTCACAGGCTGTGAGCCAGGCTCACCACCACCACGTAATGCTACTTCTCACCTGCATTTTCATTTCCAATTCCTTCTTATCTCCTGCTCCCCAAGAGCCACTGTGCCCACAGCATAGGTAAATTAGTTATTAGGGAGCTGAATTCTAGACAAACAGATAAAAATTATTTAAAAAGTTGACATTTTTCAACGTATTTCACTTATGAAATATTGCATTTGCTATTTAAAGTATTTGTAACTAAGTAAAGCATTGCTTAAATTATGAAGAGTTCACACTGAAATGTGTCAAAAGCAGGCATTTCAGTTAGCTCCATACTTATTCTTAAATCATCTTAGATGTCCGACTCTCCCCTGGAATTCAGAAAGTGAGGAAATCAAGTCCTATCAGCTTCAATGGTTACCTCTGTGAGGCAGCTCGGGGAGGTACCCTGGGGGGCCTCTCCAGGGGCGCAGGGGATGTCCCATCCACTTGTAGGGGGCCTGGACTACGACTTCTAGTAACCTCAGGAACTTCATTATCCTACAGCAAACAGGAGAAGAAAGAGTTGAAAGTTAGATTAAGCGACCAGCATAGCTGGACATGCATACCTTAAAAGCTCCTCATCCCTCCTTAGGCCCTGGCTGAAGGCTGCGCACAACTTACAATCAGCCCAGCAATGCCTGGCAGCTTTCTAAGTCCTCCTGGAGTCCTAAGGAGGACATCTGGCCCAAATTATCAGTAACCCCCTGAACTCTAATTACTTGGTGCCCAAAGCGCGAGTGGCCCAACATCAGTCATACCTGGGAGCTTGTGCACCCCTGAACCTTGCCTCTTTCCTAGAAGTCTCAGGGTTGATGTGACTTATGTGACAATCTCCTACTTGTCCACTGGTCACAGATCAGGATAAACACACTGACCCAAATTTGGCCTCCCGGGAATCGGGCCTCAATCTCAAGCAGCCACTTACTCTCTGCTCAAAGGGGACTGTGCTATTGTGCTCATGGAGAGGCAGAGAAAGGCAGTGTGCAGGGAGGGAGGAAAGCAGCTATGCATGAGAAGAAGCTTTTGGTCCTGGGACACCCAGACCAGGGGCCAGCCTCCCTCTGGCATGCCGTTCCTCCCTGCTCTGCTGCTGCTAATCCACACCCTGAGCTGGATCCCTGCCCCTGTACTCCCAAGTACTCACCAGCTCCCTCCCACACATGCCCTATTGGGCCAACTAGTCAGAACGGATTTCTATCTGTCTCTTTCCTTCCTCTTTCTATTTATTGAGGTGAAATTCAGTGACATAAAATTACCCATTTTCAAGTGACCAATTCTGTGGCATTGAGTACATTCACAATGCAGTGCAACTATCACCTCTATCTAGTCTCAAAACATTTTTTCACCCCAAAAGGAAAGCCTGCACCCATTAAGCAGTTTCTTCTTGCTCCCCCTCCCTCCAGCCCCCAGCAACCTTGGAGCTGCAGGCTGTCTCTATGGGAGCGCCCATTCCGGGAGGTCCATATACATGGACTCCTGTAGTGTGCGACCTACAGGGCCTGGCTTCCTTCACTGGGCTTCCTCTCTCTCTTGCAATGAAACAACCCCTAGGACGAGACAGATCCCAGTCTCACCTCGTTGTCTCCCTCCATCCCGCTGCTCACGCTGAGGAGGCTCCTCGTGCTGGATCGGTTACTTGTGCTGCCTAAAGGAAAGAAAAAAACTCAGCTGGACTGTGGACTCTTTCAGGCTAAAACACAATGCAGAACCGTAGTGTTCACTTATTATTATGAGCTTCTTCAATATGTGGCCATCTTATATACTATTTCATTAGAGTTCAGTGTTTATTTCAGCATAAAATGAAATGGTCCACGTTCTGATGATCATTTTTGGCTTTATGGCAACGACTGGAGACTTACCACATGCAAAATGCTTCAAAAACATATTGCCATTTAATCCCTATAAAGATCCTGTTTATATTAGTGCTCCAAGTCGACAGACAGGGAACCAGAGGTGCTCTGCTTCCCAGTTGTATGGTTGTATTTCTAAAATCTGCAAACTAATTTTACTGCTGCAGTTCTTCATATGTTTAGGAATCACAGCAAACATGGGCATGCACCACACAAGTAGACACACCTTCTAGTAAGGGGCCAGGCACTTGACCTGAAAGACACAATGACCCACACTCTGCTTGAAAGTTATCTGCCACTAGCAGGAAGTATAAAGCTGTCACAGGCACTGGCTCTGTGACTCTAGAAATTCCTACCCATAAGGTCCCATTGTCCCTTCCGGTGGCATTCATAAATCTTTAACCCCAACCTTTGGCTCTGAACCTTAGCTTCTTATTCAACGGTCCTACCCTCCCTCTCTCTAGGCTGATGACCTGTTTGCCACCCCACCCCCTGCCAGATGCACAGCTGGTAGAGGCTCTGGCACTAGATTTCATCGTCTTTACTCTTGCCAGCGGGGAGGACGGCAGTGCCCACCCCTTACCAGGCTTCCATTCTCAGGGAAGAAAGAACAGGCAAGCATCTAACTTGTGCTATTCCTATTCTTTTTCTCATCCATTGCAAGCCTCCTAAAGACAGATCCTGGGTCTTTTCTGTATTTGTGTCTCTAGGAGACAGTCTAGCTTAGTATACACAGAGCTGTCCTTGATATTTGGTAGAAGAATGAGGAAATATATCCGTCTACAAGTATAATATGACCTTTAAGAAACGTGGGACAAACAACCTAAGAGAAGATCAAGTCTTTCTTTTTTCCTTTTTTCTTTTTTTTGTTGCCCTGGGTAGAGTGCCATGGCATCAGAGCTCACAGCAACCTCCAACTCTTGGGCTTAAGCGATCTTCTTGCCTCAGCCTCCCAAGTAATTGGGACTACAAGGTGCCCACCACAGCATCTGGCTATGTTTTTGTTTGTTTGTTTGTTTTGTTTTGGGGTTTTTTTGTTTGCAGTTGTTATTGTTGCTTAACAGACCCGGGCCAGGCTCGAACCCACCACCCTAGGTGTATGTGGCCAGCATTCTTGCCAACTGAGCTATGGGCGCCTCCCAAAAGTCTTTCTATAATGAAAACTTTTGTTCTCTTAAACATAACACTAATATCCCTGGTTGAATTTTTTAAATATAACCAGATTTAACCTGCAACTATTTTTCTGTGGCTCCAAGGGATGACAGCTGTACAGTAATAAAAATAGTGCTATTTTCAGGGTGTGACTCTGGGGGTTAGGGGACATTTGGTGGATCAGAGATGGGCCATCCTCACTCTCCCTCCCTGTCCTGGGAGTTATTTCTATCTGGAAGACAGTATGTCCCCACAGGGAAGAGCATAGAAAGATCTAGACATGAATCCCAGACCTCCTGCTTACTTGCTGGGAGACCCAGGGTAAGTTGCCTACCCTCTCTATCTCCATTTCCTTATCTAGAAAGTCACAGCATGGTCATACAGAAGGATTAGACCACATGGAGACATGCTTGGCATAGGGTCTGCAAACAGTAAGCATTTGATTAATGGAAGTAGCTACTCATCATCATTGTCATCAATTTCATGATGGACTAACTACTAGTGACCTCCAGTGAGTACCTCCCCATCCAAGCCTGTGTACGGCCCCTCCCTTCCCCCGTCATGTGGGCTTAGCTATGTGTCCTGCTTTGGCCAATATGACATTAGCAAGTGTGATTCAAGCCAAAGTTTGATAAGCACTTGCACAGGGAAGCTTGTCCTCTTGGACTGTTTCTTTTCTGGATCTTCTTGCCATAAGAATTAAAGACTGTGAATTAAAGGCCACATGTAGAGAGGATCTCTCATCCCAAAGGAGAAAAGGCTATCTTGGATGCTCCAGCCCAAGGCAAACGTAAAACTGAATGCAGTTGTTTAAGTGATCCCACCTGATGGCACATGAAAGCAGATGAACCATCCCCACTGAGTCCTGCCAAAGTTGTAGGATTAGGCATAAATGGCTATGTGCAAGCCACTAAGATTTAGCATGGCAATAGATAGTGAAAACTGTATAACAGGGACTGGGTGTAGACTACAGTCACAAAGTAGAGTAAAATCCACTGATCTATCATTCAATAACATTTTCCAACAAATGAGCTAGCCACCCCTAGGCAATAAACCACTGCACAAGGTGAAAAGTATACCATTTATCCTTTCCATCTTGTCCTTATACCATGCTATCCTAAAGTTAAACAAGTACATAAAATATATTCAATTACTCTGTACCCAAAATGAGTACTTTGTATTTGTTTTGTTAAATTTCCAGCTGCTGCTCCCGTGCCCCACCTGGAATGCTCTGTTCTCACCCTGAGAGGTTCTAGCACTTCTCCTCTCCTCCCCCACACGTCTGAGAGACAGCCATCTGCCCCTTGTTCTCTCTGCCACCTGTGATCCCTGAAAAAAGTCTTCCATTTCTGAACTTGTCAAAAATCTCAAATTGCCCTAGGGTTCGGGTGATGTATATAATTGCCCCCACTATGTAAGGGAAAGTTTTCTCCTCTGTCCAGTCTAGACTTCCCAGGTAGTCATGTGACAGGCTTGGCTCTGTTACATGGAAGAGAAAAGAGCTGGGTTCTACTCCCATGCTCACCATTGACTGACTGTGTGACTTTGGACAAAATTATTTTCCTCTCTGGGTTGAAAATACCCCATCTATAAAGCAAGGAGGGAAACTAAAGCGAGGTTCAGAGGGTCTTGACCTAAGCCCATGGATGGGCAAAATAGTGTGTGTGTATGTGTGTGTGTGTGCGCACATTTGCCTGGAAAACAGATCCAGGCTATACACACATATCAGATTCTTTTTTTTTTTTTTTTTTTTTTTGAGACAGAGCCTCAAGCTGTCCCCCTGGGTAGAGTGCCATGGCATTACAGCTCACAGCAACCTCCAACTCCTGGGCTCAAGCGAGTCTCCTGCCTCTGCCTCCCAAGTAGCTGGGACCACAGGCGCCCGCCACAACGCCCGGCTATTTTTTGGTTGCAGCCGTCATTGTTGTTTGGCGGGTCCGGGCTGGGGATTCAAACCCGCCACCTTAGGTGTACGTGGCTGGCGCCTTAGCCGGTTGAGCTATAGGCGCTGAGCCCATATCAGATTCTTAAGGGGGGCTTTGACGCAGAAAAGATAAAGAACTCCCGGGTTAATGACCTTCCTGCTCCAACATACATTTTGGGGTTCTCTGCCTGACATTCAAAGAGACCAGAGTCCTAACATTCAGCTTTTTACTCCTTCTTTTATTGCTTTCCTAGCTGTTTTGTTAACTGGAATGTATGAAAGAAGAGAAAATCTATTCTGCTTGTGAAGCCAGTGTCTGGAGTCAGCTAACACTGCCCTGGATATGAAAACCAAGCCCCCATCAGCCTGCATTGTCTGTTGCAATCAGATGCCTATTCAAGCTTTCAAGCTGAAAGGAAGACATTTCCTAATTAGATACTCAACCTGCCCTTAAAGCTGAAACTCTCAAATTTGAGTCTATTGTTTTCTAATGTTTCTGACTCCCAGGCCCTCTCCTTCCTCTTACCATAATTGGAGAAGTGGCAAGAATAGTAGCTAACAGTCTTGGCTCTGGACCCAGACTGCCTAAGTTCAAATCTCAGCTATACCATATTAGTTAGCTCTTTCATCTAAGACAAGGCCCTATTCCTCTCTAGCTTCCCCCTCAGTAAGTAGAGGTGACAGTTCCTACCGAATAGAGGTTTTGTGGTTTTGTGAGAACTCAATTAGTTAATCTATGGAGAGGCTTGGCACGTAGTAAATGCTCAATAAATGGTAACTATTACTAGTAGGGTTTGCTATTTAGAAAAAGGAAAGAGTAATTATTATCATGCAACCTGGCTTCACAGGCTAAAATGCAAACCTCACAGGCTAATTGTTCCTTATCTCAAACTAGACCCCATTGGAGAGCTCTTGGGCTCAGAATAAGAAAGCTTCCCAAGGCCCAAGGGTGTCAGCTGGAGCCCAGCAGCAAGCCCCCTGCAGCCACCTCCTCCCCGACCCCCCTTCTGGGCCAACTGCTCACTTGCTGTGCTGGAGGTACTGTCAGTTTTCCAGTCTCCCCTTCTTAACTCTGTCCTGAGGGGAAAGACACTTTTCCTGGGGCCGCTCTCATAGACTCCAAATTCCACTTTCCCCAGTAGGTGCTGTGAGTGCCGGATTGGGACTGTGATCTCCAAGTCTGGAATTAGAGAAACAAGGAATAAGCATCAAGATATCAGACTGTCATCTGCCACTCTCATCCCTCCCTCTCCACCTGCCTCCCTGGAGGGAAGGAAGGGAGGAGGGAAAGAGGAAGGGTGAGAGAGGCCCTTCAGCACTAACAGGCCACAGAATGCTGTGATGCTGCTTGGCCCCAAAGACAGGGTGGGAGAAGGAGAGAAAAGGGTAGAGGAGCGAGGCCATGCCAGGGAGCAGAAAGAACATTCGATTAAGCCGGGGTCACACCTGTTATCCTAGAACTCTGGGAGGCTGAGGCAGGTGAACTGCCTGAGCTCAGGAGTTCAAGACCAGCCTGAGCAAAGACAAGAACCTGTCTCTACTAAAAATAGAAAAACTAGCAGGGTGTAGGGGGCACCTGTAATCCCAGCTACTTGGGAGGCCCAGGCAGGAAGATTGCTTGAACCCAAGAGTTTGAGGTTGCTGTGAGCTATGACGCCATGGCACCCTACCCAGGATAACAGAGTGAGACTATGTCTCAAAAAACAAAACCAAACAAAACAAAAAGAACATGCGAATAAGAAAGGCCCGGCCTGGCTCTGCCACTTAGCAATTGTGGACCTTGAATAAGTCCGTCACCCTTTCTGAACTGCCCCCTTCATGGCCATCGCTGACTGTAACAATAGGTTATGCCAGTATTATTCTCAGACCTTCCACGTTTTTAGCTCCTTTAATGCTCACAACACCCAAGAAATACATTACCATCATTCCCAACAGCAACTAAGGCACAGAGAAGTGAGGTCATATGCCCTATGGAACAGACAAGTGGCAGAGCCAGGATTTGAACCCAGGCTCCTGAGTCCAGGCTCTAAAGCAGCCTTATACAGCCTCTCACTCCCTCCCTTCATGAATGACAGATGGTGGTGAATGACCCACACAGACAGCGTGACCCAGAGAGTTTATGAAAGGAGGTCCTTCAGGCCTGTGAAAGCATCTGTGACTGGTAAGGCTAATCAATGGTAAAGAAATCCGATTCCTTGTCCATTGACCTGACCTCCTCACTCGTTAGTTCTGCCCACGAGTTTGTCTTTATTCCTCCCTAGGTTTCTGACCCCGCTAATGAGCAGAATAAACGTCTGTGGGTACCCGGCACCTCCTCCAGGAATAGAAAGTTGGGTGAGCTCCTGCCTCTGGTTTCTCTTTGCTGCTGGGGACCTTCCTGAGCCCAGGAACAGTGGCCACGTAAGCTCAAGTGGAAAGTGGAAGCTTTGTGTCCCTTATCTTTAGGCACTACCTCCTTCCCCACACCTATTATTCTAGGGAGACAGGTGTGGCAGGAAGTCCTGAGAGTCCAGGGGCAGCAGAAGTCCACTGTGAAGGGGTAAGCCAGAACAGGATGGAGGCGCTGTTCCAGGAAGGGGTGGACCAAGTCCCTCAGCAAACATCCTGAGCAGAGTTTCTTTCCTTTTCTTTTCTTTTCTTTCTTTCTTTTTTTTTTTGAGGTAGAGTCTCACTTTGTTGCCCTCTGAAGAGGGCCATGGTGTCACAGCTCACAGCAACCTCTAACTCTTGGGGTTCAAGCAATTCTCTTGCCTCAGCCTCCCAAGTAGCTGGGACTGCAGGTGCCCGCCACAACACCTGGCTATTTTTCCAGAGGCGGTCTCGCTCTGGCTCAGGCTGGTGTTGAACCTGTGAGCTCAGGCAATCCCCCACCTCAGCCGCCCAAGTGCTAGGATTTCAGGCATGAGCCACCACACCTGGCCCTGCACAGAGAATCTTCAAGGGCAGATTATTGTTTTGAGTAGGCACAAGCTGTCCTTATTCTAAAGATTCCCATCCAGGTGTAGTGCAAGGTCCTAGTGTTCAACCAGCTTCCCAGGTCTTTTTTTTTTTTTTTTTTTTTTTTGCAGTTTTTGGCCAGGCTAGGTTCGAACCCACCACCATATGGAGCCAGCGCCCTACTCCTTTGAGCCACAGGTGCCACCCCCCAGGTCTTCATGGCACACAGGTCTTTTTCACATCTTGGGCTCTCTTGGTTACAACGTGTGGTGGAAGCATCCCCACCATCCCCCAGCTGAGAGCTACCTGGGCAGAATGTAGCTGGGGGAACTCTCACACGGGTGCAACCCACCTTATCTCAGGGCCCAATTATGTGTCATACCTTTTTTCCCCCTCAGCTTTGACCTACCTTTTCAAAAAATATCTTTTTAAGGGAAGTTCCCATCTGCTTAAGTAACTTCGAGAAGGCAATGTTATACCCTTAACCAGTATAAAGAAGGAAGGTAAAATACACAGGGAAAAAATAGAAAGTCAAAAGTTCAAAAAAATCAGGTAGAGCAAGTCTAAATGTTTACAAAATCCTGATATTCTCTGAATAAAGGTGCAATGCCAGGAATAATAATTATTATTCTATTGCATAGTATTTTCCCAAAGTGCATTTACATGCATTATTATATCTCCTTTGAACTTCACGACTTCTCCAGTAAGTAAGTCAGGTGTAACCCACAAAGAGGAAACTGAGACATGAAATGGTTAGAATGCATTAAGTAACTCAGTGACAAAGCTAGGACCAGAAACCAGGTTCCTGGGACCAAGCCTGCTCCACTCTGATCTGCCCCATACACCCAGAACACAAATATTGATTGTCTTCTCTGAGGGGAATGGCTTTCAACAAGCCAGTAGTCTCTGCAGCCCTTCTCTGATTTCAACACTCTGTACCATCCCAGTAAGAGCAAAACAACCTCCTGGGGCTGAAGAAAAATGAACAAGTTCTTTTGAACAAAGTCTCAGTTTTTAATGATCCTTGGTGTTCTAACCCAAAAGAAGGGAAAAAAATTTTTTTAAAGCAAACGAATTTTCCAAATTAATAGTCCTTGTGTTTAGAGTAGTCGCATTCTCAGAAAAGGTCCTTTAAGTAGAAATGCCATTCATCAACCCTAATTTTCATATAGCTCAATGTTAATTGTGTGTCAATTGCTTTTGGTGAAGCAGAATTCTTTCCTCCAGTAAAAACAGAAATTCACCGTGGAAGACAGATTTTTAAAAGGAGCTTCAACAGCCAAAGCAGAATAACTAGCCCTAAACCCTGTGGAACCTAATCCATATCCTCCCATCCCCCAAACCTCACCTCCCAGCCCAGGTTCCTACCTCACCCCTACAAACACATGTAGCAGCCCTGAGGCCCGTCAAGGAACTCAGTGTGAAAACTCACAGAATAGGTCATCACAAGGTAGTATGTCATACATAATCAAGTTTTGTGGAGTTAACTAATATGTCATATTTACTCAACTCTAAATGATGCCTTCTCTTTGGCAGATGTTCTGATGCCCTTGGCCTCACCATGCAGTATGGGGTCCAATATCCAATTGACTGAGGCTTCTTCTAGCCCCTAAATTATGAGTGCACCAGTCAGTGTGACTGACAGGATCAGTGTGCAAGTGTCCCAGTTCTCTTGCCCCTCAAGGGCAACAATGGGTGGGTGTCCTCCACTGACTCCTTCCCCAGTTCCTTTCCCCATCCCTACCATTTCCCTGGGACCACAGTCTATACCAACTATTTGCTCTCAAATACTCATCAGGAAGGAAAAAGTTCTAAAAATGGAAGTGGTGATGGCTGCACAACATTGTGAATTCCACTGAATTGTACATTTAAAAATGGCTCAAATGGTATATTCTGTTATATATATTTTATTAGAATAAAAAGAAAAAACAAGGATGCTTTTGGGACTGATAGGGAGACATCATCCTCATGTAGATTGCTTGTGGCCTCAGTCATTCTTGTTCAGTGGCAAATTATATATAGTTTAATCTTTCAACAGTTACGACATTAATTAAAGCCCCTGATAGAAATACCAAAAATGCTTGGCACCCCTCTCCCTCAAAAATTCCTTATCAGAGGGTCTGCTTCTTCTTCTTTTTTTTTTTTTTTTAACTGAGACAGTCTCATTTTGTTGCCCTCTGTAGAGTGCCACAGTGTCATAACTCACAGCAATCTCAAACTCTTGGGTTCAAGCGATTCTCTTGTCTCAACCTCCCAAGTAGCTAGAACTACAGGCGCCCACCACAACGCCTAGCTATTTTGTTGTTGTTGTTGTCTGTTTAGCAGGGCCAGGCAGCCCTGGTGCATGTGGCTGGTGCCTTAACCTCTGAGCTACAGGTGCCCCCAGAGGGTCTGCTTTGGGAAAAGGTAGATATTGACCATTCTAATTCAGACTATAGCTACTGATGAGTATAAATCACTTATTTAGAGCCTTGATTAGCCTTGCATGAACCTTCCATGATGTCTCAAAACTTGTGATTCTAGGGTCTGACCTTGGAGGGTGAGGCTTGGCCCAGTGCACTTGTTCTGGATGGCCTTGAGTAGACAGCAGCTGGTGTGTGGGTCTATGTGATCATGAGAGCAGACAGTTTTGAGAGTGCTTCCACGTTCCAAGTACTGTGCCAGACACCAGTTATATCCTAACTCATTCAATCCTTGCATGAACCCCAGTAGGGTGGGACTTTCATTTTTGCTGTTTGTTACTTGAGGACTGAGGCTCAGGGAGATGAAGTGTCTTGCTCATGGCTCCCCGCCAATTGGGGTAAGCAGAGAGCAGGAATTTGACCCTCTGTTGGCCCCAGGGTCCATGTCAATACTCCTCTACCCCTCTGCTTGTGTTTCTGCCTTGTTGCAACACCTCTAGGCACCAGGTGGAGCCTGGGTGGGTGGTCAGGATGTCATGACACCCAGAAGGCTCAATTCTCGACTCCAGACTGCTGAGCACATGTGACACCAACACTGCAGTGCCCAGCCTTCAAACACTGGATGCACCACCACTTTGAGGATTTTTTGGTGCTGCCTATATTTAAAAGCTTGACATGTTTTATTTAACCAAGGTATCTATATTTGGGATCTTGTGCTTTTATTTTATTGAGACTAGTCTCACTCTGTTGCCCTCCATAGAGTGCTGTGGCATCATAACTCACAGCAACCTCAAACTCTTGGGCTGAAGTGATCCTCTTGCCTCAGCTCTCTGAGTAGCTGGGACTACAGGTGCCCGCCACAACGCCTGGCTAGTTGTGAGACAGGGCTTCACTCTTACTCAGGCTGGTCATGAATTCCTGAACTCAAGCAATTCACCTGTCTCGGCCTCCCCAAGTGCTAGGATTACAGGACTGAGCCACAACGCCTGGCCCGTGCTCTTATTTTGAAAAGCACCTCCGTCCTTTTACCATGTGGAGCCCTATTATCTGACCATGGGATGACTCTGCAGATCTTAAAACAGAATTTCTGCCTTTTCTCCACTCTCCTCCTCTCAACCAGGAGGCAGACAAGTGTGAACTCAACTAGCAGCAGCATAAATTTAAAACTCTGGACACCCAAGCAGAAGTCTTAGGGTGACCTAAGCATAAATTAAAAATCTGGACACCCAAGCAGAAGTCTTAGGGTGACCTCTCTGACCTTCTGTCATAGTTATAACTTCTTACCCCCTTTTCTCCCAAACAGTTGAAAACATTAACATTCGCTAGGCTACTGCTATCTGCAAAACACTGTGCAAGGCGTGTAGGACAGATCACAGCAGGGAAAACCAGAGTTGAGTGAATAAAAAGACAACTAACTGATTAGCTACGAAAGGTGAAGACAGTGTCTGCTAGGTCTCTGTATTCGGCAGGGTGCCTGGTGGAATGAATGAATGAATGGTGCCACCAAATGGAAACCAACCATTCCAACAAAGACTTCGTGAGCACCATCAGTGCACCCCACAGCATGCTGGGGTCTCAGCAGAGCACACAACCAACAAGATCTTACCTGTATAGAGGTCACAATAGGAGAGAGACAGGGTGTTGGGCTGTAACCATGAGAATAGAAACATAAGAGAATTCCAGTCTGTGATATGTGGACAGAGGGAAGCAAGGGAGCAGGAACCGAGTCCTGCTGGGCCACTCAGGACAGAATGACAGAGAAGACCTCCCTGAGAAGGAGACAGTATAGCTGAACTCTGAAGGGTGAAAAAGAGCCAGAAGTGAAGATGTGGGGGAAAGGCCTGGAGGGAGAAATGCTCTTGGCTTGTTACCGCAACAAAAAATAGTCCACCTCCACCGGAGCACTCAGCCTGGGCGAGAATGGAGGAGGAGAGCTGGGCGCAGGCCATCTGGGATTGCAGAGGTAATGGGAAGGGGTCTGATGTTACCTTGAGTGGGATAAGAGCCCCTGAAGGGCTTTGAGCAAGGGAGTAAAGTTACCTAATTTTTTTATTTTTAAAACTACGGCTTGGAGGAACTTTGGAGGATTAACTGCAGAGGGACAAAAGTTCACAGGGCAAGCCAACTAAAGAGGCTATTGCACTAGAGTCCAGGCAGGGGACAGTATGGGTTGGCTGCAGCTATGGCACAGGAAGTGGTCAGAAATGATCATATTTAGGACGTGTATTTGGAGGCAGAATCTCTGGGGACAGCTGATAGTTTGAAGGAAGGCATGAGGTTGGAGCAATCAGAGGCAGAAAAAGAGAAGTGGCAGATGAATGGAAAGGATTCCAGGTTCTAAAGGGGCTGGAATGAAGAAGGAATACAATGGCCTGGAGCAGTACAGGAAGCTGCACTGCTTGCAGCTGCAACTGTCTTGCAGCCCAGTTGTTTTCACACTGGTGAGAAGGAAGAGGCCTGAGCAAGAGGCGGGTGGGAGGGAGATGTCCTGTTTGGAGACCTGGGTGGTACCAGCCTGATGAGAGGTGGGGCTGGGTGCTACCAGGCTCATGAGAGGTGGGGCTGTTAAGGGCAATTGGAGATAGACTATGGAAGTTGTGGGGTGCTAGATTTTTACCTTAGTTCTTTATGTAACAGGGCTCCATTAAAGCCTTTTCCTGCTACCTCCTCTTGCTATGAGGCTGGACTGGGTAAGTCACAGAGGCCCACCAAGCCCGAGGCTCTCAGTGGTAAGGTGCAGTGTGGGCAAACAATGACTCCTTCCTTGCTCAGGGTGGTGGTACAGGGTGGCAGGTCAAGGGGAGTAGAGGGCCCAGTCCACAGTGTGCACCACTGGAATTCACATCCTGCTATTGCAAACCCTGGGGCCTGAGCTTCTGAAGCAGCATATGATATGGACGCTGATGATGCCATTCTCCATCAGACTCAAACACAGACACATCTGAATGAGGTTTTCACCTTTCTCTGCTCAAAAAGTATATGTCTTCCTAATTGCCAAGGGGAGAGTCAGGTGCCTAGAGAAAAAGCATCACCATCCTCTTTGAATGGGAGGTTGAATCCATCTATTCATTCATTTGCTGGGCATGTCTTATGTACCAGGCACCAGACTGTTGACGCATAAATAAGACAAAACTATTGTCTGAAAAGCCCTCACAGTCTAGTGGGGGACCCAGATCTGTAACAGGGTGGTGGATGCTGGACAAGTGGTCTGCTAACTTGGGCCACCATGAAAAGGAAAGTCAAGGACAACAGATGACAGCAATGTCTCTACAACGCAGCACCCCAGGAAACCACATACCTGCCTGCTTTCCTGACTTTTGCTTCTCTTTCTGTCTTCGGGTGATGCTATCTCTCAGCCGTTTAAGATTTTCCTGTAAAAAATATTCAGTTTATTTTTCAGGTATACACCAAAAGAATGCCCTGTGGAGTCCAGCCATTAGAGTTTCTTTCTGATTTTAGCCATCTGCAAGGAATATCACATTGCAATAACATTTCAACATGCAAAGGAGGCTCTATGCATTTGCAGTTGGCCCCCAGAAAAATCTAAGTACTTATGGAATTTGAGCCAGAGGACCAGACATCTCTTCTCCCAAAACGTGTCCTTTTATAAACCCTTTGGTTCCTAGGTCTATCTCAGCTTTACAACCTACTGCCTTCTCCCAGGTATGCTCCTTAGCAAGCTGGTCTCTTACCTGCTCACAAACATGCCACGTACATTCCTGCCTCCGAGACTGTGTTCTCACCTCACTCTCCTGACCTTGAAGGACAGTGATTTCCTCTCCATGAGTCTTTTCCCGGCCTGTGTCAAGGCCTACCTTCTCCCTGAAGCCTTCCCAGACTGCTTCGGTCCTCAGAGAATGTCCATGCCAACTATCTGGTACTTGGACTATGCTGCCTTCTTATGTGTGTGTGCACATGTATGCACGCATGTATTTGTGTGTGCACACACATGCCTTGCCTCTTTGGAAATACTGTGAACTCTCCAAAAGCAAGAGATCAGGGCCTGTACCATTCTGTGATCCTGCCATCTGGTCCATTGTGGGTGTTCAATAAATGTTAAATAGATATGTGAGGGTAGAGATTGTTGCTATTTTAGTCATTCAACAACAATAACCTAGAGGCTAAGTGGCTGAGCATTCTAGAAAAGATGTGTCAGGGAAAACATCCAGGCAATCTAGCTGGAGCAGAAGGTTCACATGAGGGAACTACAGGAGGCCAAACTGGAGCGGTGGTTGGTTTGCAACTGCAGGCTAAGGAGAGGGAGCTTTGTTCAGGAAGCTGCAGGGAGCTCTGAACAATGTGAGCTGGTCACCACTTTACAGTTCTGCTTAACGGAGTTGGAAGAAAGCAGACACCCCACACACACTATGCAGTATGTCAGAGAGATGTAGGCGACAGAAGCCACACTGGTACGTGGCTGGGAAATGAAGAGACTAGAACAGATGTAAGAGGAAGAACACCACTAAGCAAGACCAACCAAGACACGGAGCAGACTGCACACGAGGGAGCCTGGGAGACGGGACAGAGAGAGGCTGACATCTGACTTCAGTCTCTGGCAGGTGTCCATGCACTGAGCAGGAAAAGGGACCTGGGAGAGGAGAGCAACCTGGAGAGGCACAGGGCACCTCAAGAGGACACACCAGGCTGGTGGCTAGAAATTGGAACTGGAGACACAGACTGCACAAAGAAGGAGCTGAAGGGAAGCTGGGCAGTGCCCACTTATGAGAGGCAGACGTGAAAGAGACAGAAGGGGGGACAGAGAGGCAGAGGAAAAGGAGGAGGAATGGTCTCTGTACCACCAACCCTGCATGGGAGAACTCAGGAAGTATTAGGGGGCTGCACAGAACAGTGTGACTCCCCTGGGCTGGGGTTCTCTGCCATGTTAAATGTGAACCCTGGTTATCGGTTATACATCAGAGTTCTGGGCAAGTTCATGGGAGAGAAAGAAGTCTCAGGGATATAAACCTAGAAAGATAGCTCACATTTATTCAGTATTTACTAAGCACCAGGCCAGTAATGGCTTTATATGGCTTAATTCTCTTCCTTCACTAGGTGGGAAAATGGAGGCACATGAGGTCAAGGTCACCCAGCTACAAGTGGCAGAACAAGGATGTAAACTCAGGCGGCCAGCTCCAGAATCTTGGCTGCTCTTAACAACCTGCCACGTGGCTGTACAACTTGGCAAGGAGAAAAAAAAATCATTGTAATCATTATTTGTCCAAAATGAGCCTATTCTCAGCAAGACAGAGAGTCCACCTCCCTTGGACTCCTGCAGGAAAGGGCCCTGGCTTCCTGCATCTGGCACTACAGGTGGCTTCCCATCTTTCCGAACCCCAGGGGGAGGGAGGTGACTGCAGAGTGTGTGCCCCTCATCTTAAGGAGCACTAAGAAGACACAAGTACATGTAGCAAAGGCAGCACAGGCTCTGGAGTGAGAAAGGACTGCTTTGAACCCTGACTGCCACTTCGCCTCTGTCTTCTGTCAAATAGAAGGAATAATATTTACTGCACATGCATGCTTTGAGGAGTAAGAGAGTCTAGGTCTACTCCACACTTAGCACAGGGCCCCACAAGTGCTGTCAGAGCCCAACAAATGCTGCTCTCTGAGCAGGTCCCTGCCTCATCCACTCCCAGAAGGCAAGGTTCCCATCTCAGGCAGGGAGGGTGCTGCTTGCTCACTTGCCCTGACAGCCGGTGTGTCCTGGCCTACTAGAACAGAGACTGGAACACACATACCAGGGTCTCCAGCCATCATCCTGAATATGCCCAATCCTGTCTGATCATAGAAGCTAAGTAGGGTCGGATCTGGTTGGTCCTTGGAAGAGAGACTACACACCACTGAGAAGCACCCTGGAGTGGGGATGGGGGGTGGAGAGAAAAAGCCATAGTGGTGGTCTTGTGCATGTCCCTTAACCTGGGCCCAATTTTCTCCTTTTTTAATATGAAGGCATAGGACCTAGGGACAATGCTTCCTAAGGTTGAGTCTGAGTTCTTTTGATTGTTTGTAAGTGTATATGGAGTACACATATGGTCTTAAATATTCTCATAAACAGCTTCAAACCATACAACAGGACTCTCCTCCAGCACAGCCCTCTTTTCCCAAGGGGTAACCAGTGGCGTGGGCAGGGGTTGGCCCTTTCCAGGCCATTGTTTTGCATTTACATATACGCCCATGGAAATGTAGTGTGTGTGTGTGTGCGCGCGCGCACACACAACTTGCTTTAAGTTGGGTAGCTTTGTATCTGTACTTTGTTTTATTCATTTAATTATATTCCTTGGGAGCTTTCCAAATTCTCTTTGAGCTCTCAACCGTAATAGTTGTGTGGAGGATTTGGCACTAGTAGAGATAAGAACTTTTTTTTTTTTAAGAAAAAAGCTAGATAGCAAAGGTAGAGAGCCAGATGCAGAGGGAAGCAGCAGTGGCAGAATTGGAGTTTCTGGTTTAGTCTTTGTTGCTGACCCCCAGCCTCACAGCATCCAGAAAAGCTTCTAGCTCTCAGCCAGGGAATACGCAGGGTAGGGAGGCCTATGGCCCTCCAGATGCCCAGTGAGACCCCGTGACCAAATCCAAACTTCGCAGAACAAAGCCTTTTAGGATTTGAATTCAATCAAAAGGCCATACTCAAGGATCCAGAAAGCCACATGTGGGCCCAGGCCCTGGAATGGAACAAAGAGACACACTCACCAACGTACAATAATGCACAAACACTCACATGCCCTCCTCCACTGTCTGGTGGAGAAACAGACATCAAACAGATCCCATACACAGCCAGTTACCTGCTGGAAGCGGAAGGACTCAGAGCGTTTCTTCTGGTTGAGCTGCCACTCTTTGAAGTGGAGCACAGCCTCGTCCACGTTCACGATGCCCAGCTTCACCTGCTCCTGGAGGGTAATAAGCTGCCGCTGGCCTGGTGTTTTCATCCCAGCAAAGGGGTCATATATACTGGACTGGGGCCTGTCCCTGCTCGGTCTGACAGGTGGCTCTGGAAAAGACAGCAAGATTCAGCTTGACAGCTCCCCCACTGGGGACAGCTGACCGGAGGAGTGAGGTTAACAAGCTGGTCATTGGATCAAGAGGACACGTCTCAAAAGAACAATTACGTGCAGAATCAAGAAGGGGTAAGTCTGACATGGAATCAGTGGAGAAGGAAGCAGCTAATGATTTCAAAGCCTACCACACTGAAGTAGACAAGGCTGCAACATCTGAAATCTGCTGACTCCCCCAAGCCTTCATTATTGAGATGTCTTTAGACCAGCATTTCTCAACCTTGGCAGGATTGACATTTTGAGCCAGGTAATTTTTTGTTATGGATGTTCTGTGGACTGGGAAACGTTCAGCAGCATCCCTGACCTCTACCCTTCAGATTCCAGTAGCACCCCTTTCCCTAGTTATGACAACTCACAATGTCCCTAGATATTGCCAAATGTCTGCTGGAAAGGGAGAGATCATCACTGCTTTAAATGTAAATCCACTCCCAGAAGAGAATATAGAGGAAGACTTTAGCGTTACTTCCAGCCCTCTAAGTAGCATGAGGCACAAGGACTGTGGACTGAAAGGCACGAAACGCCCCATGAGACTGGAACACAAATGGAATCGTGACCCAAGTCCAACAGCCCCAGATATCTGATTTAAACACATAAACCAGGTGCTGGGTGCCAACTGGCTATCCTTGGGTTGTCCCTGTGCCAACTCTTTTCCATGTTACAAGTTCATAGCTATTTGCTTTGGAGATTCCAGGGAAATATGAAGACAAGCTCCTCTCTCTCCAGGTTGTGACTCCAGCTCTGTAGGGAATTTCTTCCAGGGAAATATGAAGACAAGCTCCTCTCTCTCCAGCTATGTACAGAGATGATAGGGTCATCGAGGCAGGAGAGGACAACTTGACGTTTTCCTACCCCAGTCACATGGGGCTAACTTGATTCTAAATTTCTCATTGTGACTCAGGGACATAAGAAGTGAAAGGAGAGATGGTTTCACCAGTGGGTATTGAAAAAGCCTCAAAGAATTCTGTCCTTCTTCCTGACCATTCACTCATCTGTCAACACACACTCACATGCCTGTCTCCTGGTTTTGCCCTTTCCAAGGCTGTCTTTAAGGGTATTAGGAGATAGGGTGGAGGGAAAAACAAAATGCACAAACCCACCAGTTTCAGGCTCCCTCCCCAAAGTGCTTGGGGTGGGGGTGGGGGGATGCCTCCAAATGCTTAGATGGTGTCAGGACTACTTTTCAAAAGAGTCCTCAATGGGAAAATACTAAATGTCTGTTTAGCACAAGGAAATTAATCAAAAAACAAAAGAGCATTCAGCTTCTCAAGCTTCCTTTAAAAGTTTTTAGGAAAGTGAGATGTCATTGTTACACAATGGCAAGCAAAATATCTTTTAAAAAAGAGTTGAATGAAAGTATAGGTTAGCTAGTATAGATAGGGTAAGTGAATAGGCTGTATCATTAGGGAAGGCCCAGCTGCGGGGCCGCCTATTTTCCTCCTGTCGCCATCATCCCCAATGTCACTTTTCTGTGCTCTGTGGACACTTTCTACTATATTAATGTCCTTTGTGTGATCACTTTGTACAATATTCTAGGGTGCCCCGATCTCTTCCTCTCTCTCTTTACTACCAATAAAGGAGTCTCCACCCCAAGGTATCTCTTCAATCTTTTCAATACCAAGAAATTGTTGTTACACTTGGGAATCACTGAAATATGAAGTCTTTTATGACCCAAAAGTTCAGTTCATGTAACACCCAGCCTACCTTTCCTGATGCTCTCTGAGGAAACATAGAAATTCCCAGGCCGCTCTTGACTTTTTTCTGCAAAAACTATGATAGAAAGAATATTTTGAGTAAACACCAAGGTAGACATCTTTCTAAAGAGCTTTAAAATATTTTAATATATTTACCAAAAAAATTGTCAAAATTTCCTACAAAAAATAATAACGAATCCACACCTGGGATCACTGTGTGCAGCTCTGTAAATCAAAACTCTAGGAGGCAACCAAGAAGAAACAAGAATTATCAAATAAAGACAGACCACCCAGACAAGATCTCAAACCTAGAAGGACAAAGGCAGCCAGAGAACACGATCGGCATTTACAAGATCATTTAAAAAAAGGGTGACGGGAACAAGAACTCGTGCCCAGGTCCCTGAGCATCTGAAGCTAGCCATGGAAGACCCTGAAGCTTGAGAATAAAAGGAAAAGTGTGCATAGCTCCAAAGGGACTAAGATGAGGTCATTCACAAGGGACTGGGTCACAAAGGTTAATGGAAAAAACAGAGACATGACTAATGTACACTTAGCGGTAAGACAGCGTGTTGATTTTGGCTCCCTGGGCTCTGAATGATTCTCCTTGTATTCAAATCCTGGCTTTGCCACTGATGAGCAATATGATCTTGGCCAAGAGGCTTGACTTCTCCCTACCTCCCCTACCTCCATTCCTTATCTATAGAATGAGGATGATAATAGCACCTTCATTGGTTTACTGAGTTAATACACAGAAGAGCTTAGGACAGTGCCTGACAATGTGAGCACTGTGTTAGCTCTATTATCATTATTCACATCTACACCTGGAGATTGATGCCTGTAGTCAGCAACGCCATAGCCAGCTATGCTAGTCAGCCCCAGTGATGTCTGTGCAGAACCTTACAGTTCATAAACTACTTCTTTGTGTAGTATTTCATCTGTGCCTCACGATGACGCTGTGCAGAATAATATTATGTATTATTATGACATATCCCTTAATGCCTACATATGTTATTATGACACCCATTTTATAGATGAGGAAACTAAAGCTAAAAAAGAGTGAAATAACTTACCCAATGTCCTATGCAATACAGCTGGAAAATACAAGACCTGAAGGATGAAGCCACGTATTCTGCCTCCAAGACGTTGCCTCTTGTGTCCTCTCCTGTCTCCTTTCCTTTCTCCACAGTTTTCTAGCGAGTCCATCTGGGCTCTTTAAGAATCACTCTTGCTTCTGTCCAACTGCCTCCCTATGTCATCAATACTGTCCCCTACTACCTCTGCCATTTAGGAATTACCAATATATATGTGTATGTTTCTTAGTTTTTGTTCCCTTAGAAGCAGATTCGAAGACAAGGATTGAGAATAAGTAGTCTATTTGAGAGGTAAGACAGGGAAGTGGATGAAGCAATAAATGGTGGGTTATTAAGCAAGTTGTTACTATGGGCAAGCTGGGGATCCCTGGAGCAAGGTAGGATGTGCAACTCAGGGTCCTCCCACCAGCGGGTCAACCAAGCTAGGGCAGTCATCGGCCACCCGCTGTCAGTCACTGAGGGCGATGGCCATGTGTGTTAATTCCCCAACACCCCAGCCCATCCTGTGAGAGAACAGAGGAGGCTCCGGATGGCGGAGGAAGCCGGTAGGCTGAGAGACACAGGGTGCTGACAGGTGGGATCTGGCCAGTGAGCAGAGAAATGTTAAGACCTAGGGGTCTATGATAGGGGATAAAGAGTGTGCATGTCCAAGGAGATGTTAATCAAGGAGATGGCAGCCACTGACACAGACAGTACTTGGTAAGTTTTACACTTAAAACTTACTTGCTATTTATCTGAAATTCAAAGTTAACTGGGCATCCTGTATTCACCTGGCAACCTGAACTCAATTACCTGGGATTCTGGTCAAGCTCTACCTTCCCCCATTTATGATCTCCTTCTGCCACAATTTCCACAACATTGTTATACTATTTTTTTAAAAGATGGAATGCAGCTCAGGAGCACAGATCTGGCAATTTGTACTTGTAACCATATTAATACAATCAAGTTCTAAAAGACAGTGAAACTGACAACGCTGTCAGTATCTAACTGATGTCTCAGAGACAATTATGAATAAGTCAAAACACAATTTTTATTAATGTAGGTTGGTAGTCAGCCTAGCATAGTGACTAAAAGACAGAACTGTGGAGTTAGACTCCCTGAGTTCGAATCCTGGCTCTGCCATGTGGTGGTTGAGTGACCTTGTAAGCCTCTATTTAGTCATTTGTGAAATGGGGGTAGTGATGGTACTTACCTAAAAGGTTATCATAAAGGTTAAATGGCATGCTCCAGACAGAGCACTCTTCGTAGAGTTCAACACATGTTCAATATTAAAAATTAAAAATAATAAGAAGGAGGGTTCTCAGGGTTCTTGATTATCTCTGTTTTTCCTACTGCATGAATGCCTCCAAGAAGGCCAACAACAACACTCTAATCACTGCTGCTAGTCCAGCTTCAGAATCTGCCCTGTGCTATGACCCTATCTGCTGTGGATGGCTAGAAAGCATTCAGGACAGGACAGTCTCTGAGCAGTGGTCCACAAAGCCAGGGGAATCCAGGAAATTCCTTCAGAGATCCTCTGAAGACATCATTCCCTGCCACACTTGCCTTTAGAAATGTATGGTTCATTATCTGGCAGCTGGTGAGCCCCAGAAGCACTGGCCTCTGGCCTGGGCACTGGGACAGGGGGCCTGCTGGCTAGGTCCATGGAAAAGGCCTCATCATCATCTACCATGTGATATACATCTTCTTCCTGCCCAGGATGGTGTAGCTCTCTCTCCAAATTGGTTCCATTGTTGCCTAGAAACAAAAAGAAAAATGACTGAAAGCAGTGGCCAAACCAAGTGGGTGACTGCCAGTCACAGAGCAGAGCAAGTGACCACAGTCCATCTGTTCAGTACTGCCCTCTGGCAAATACCATCTGCTACATCATCCACCCAGAACACTATGCAAAGCAACTGGGAAGACAGACATCACCTTCATTTGCCACCATCCATGCAGCAAAAGGATGTGCTCACCAGGATCTGTCACCTCACTTGTACTGCTGAGATTCAGTTATTCATCCTCTTAGAACTGGGGGAAACCCTGGGTAAGACTGGCTGTCAGGGTCTTCCCGAGGTAAGAAAGGTGGGGCATTTGCTGCCTACTGTCCAGTAAAAGTGGTACTTCTCACCTAGGGCTGAAAACACATTCCCCTGGGCTGCCCTCTCACGGAAACAGTAAGTTTTAGAGTAGAAGATCAGCAAATATTAATTTTTATAGCCTCAAATGGTAAATATCTCAACTCTGCTCTCATAGCATGAAAGCAGACATAAACAGTACTAAATGAATGGGCATGTTGTGTCCCAATAAAACTTTATTTACAAAATAGGCAGTTGGCCACACTGTGGTTCATCTACAACTGCTTTAGGTATTTTCCTCTCAGTATTTGGTTTTCATATCTACAGACCCCACTGTAAACTGCAAACAATTAGACAGGGTTAAGAAATTACACATAGTAGGGCGGCACCTGTGGCTCAAAGGAGTAGGGCACCAGCCCCATATACTGGAGGTACCTGGCCCCGACCAAAAAAAAAGAAATTACCCATACAACTTAATACCTTTGATACCTTCCATACTAAAAACAACAGGAATAAGTCTTTATTAACTGTTTATTATATGTCTGGCCTGCTCTGAGACCTATAGTATAATAATTCCATTTAATTCTCATAACATTCATCTTCAATTTCAGGACTGAGGAAATTGAGGCCCAGAGGAGTTGAATAACTTGCCTAAAGTTGAATAACTGAAGGAAGAAACTGGAACTAGATCAGAGTCTGTGTTCTTAGCTACTATACAACACAGCTTCAAATTAGTGATACTTGTTTATATTCCCCTCTGCTGGAAAGTAAAGTTCCTGAAGGCACTGATCCTATGTAATTTTTGTGTCCCCAGCCCTCACATCCAGTACCGTGCTTTGCATATGGTAGGTACTCAATAATACTTTTTGGCCAAATGAAAGTAGATACATTTATTTTAAAAGAGGTCTTGGCAGAGGCAACTCGTTTACCCAAATGAGCAGTCCAATGGCAGGAATTTTTGACCTGCCTGTAATGGGCTGATTGGGGGTTCCGGGCAAGTGGGAGAGAGGCAGAGTGCCTATGATCACATCACACACCAAGTATGCAGCAGCCCATCTCTTGGAGCAACCCTCATATGGAACCAGGCAATGGCTTACTTTTGCTTCCCCTTCCTTCTTTTTTGCTTTCCTGCTCATCGCTACAACTTACCTTCTAAAAATTTGCGGATCATAGAGTCTTTAATGGTCCGACAGACACTACCTCCAGGGATGGGATTCGATGTACTGGCCTGAAGCATCTCAACATCTAGAAGGAAAAAGAGACAAAGAATTGATACATTGTTCTTCTACACAGGTGAGGAGATTTCACAGATGGATTTATACAATTTGGCAACTTATTTACCAAATTCAAGCATTTGCCAATCCATCAATCCATCCCTTCCTCCATCCATCTACTCAATCAAGACACCCAGTAAGTGTAGAGCACCAGTCACAACCCTCAGGCCCTTTCTTGGACCATAGGCCTCAAAAGTTGCTCACTGGCATTGGAAAGAATGGGCTCAATTTTTAAATATCTACACCATAGAATTGTGCACTACAGAAAGGAAAAGGAAGCAGGAACAACAGTGAAAAACTGTGGTTTATTCAAACAATGGAACATTCTACAACAGTTTAAAAGAATGCATTGAAGTCACTTCTCTCAATGTAATTTCATCTTCATAACATGCTGAGTGAAAAAGTTAGGTGTTTATAGTATGATACTGTTTATGTAAAGTTTTAAGCCTTACAAAACAATATTATAAATTGTTTATGAATTCATAAATAGGTAGTCAGTATATAAACATGCTGGGAATGATAAGTGTTGATTGAATTCCTGGTAGTAGTTACCTCTGGAAAGGAAGGGAGGACAGCTCAGTTCTGGACGGGGTTAATAGGAGACTGCAATGGGGACCATAATATTCAAGTTTTTAAAATCTGAGACATATTTTTAAAAAGAAAAATTATTTTTGAAGATTCTGATAAATCTGAAGACTCAACTCTTCAAAAAATCCAACGTGTTAGATAATTAAGATGCTACCTAAAGAAGGCAAAATAAGGTTTTATTTTTGTCATTTGCTTGCATATGTAAGAAGAAACTTGGAAGGAGATACAAGAAATTAAGATGAGTGGTTTCCTGGGAACTAATTGATGGGGACAAGAAATGGAGAAAGCTACTCCACTGTATACCTTCTTATATTTCAGTTTTTTCTGCCCATTCAAAACATAAAGAAATGCCATGTTCTGATCATGTTTGTATTACCTTATCATTCAAAAAACAGACAGTTTATGTCTCCAAACATAGAAGACACAGTCCATTGAATACAATATGCCTTGATTTCTTCTAGTTCAGAACTCTGTGATTCTAAGTGAAGAACCAGATTAAATAAATATCCCCACTCTCGTCACCACTGAATTCTGTAATAGAGTCTGCAGAGAGATTTTCTGATGAGGACTCATACTTAATTCATTCTCTAAAAATGTACGGTAAAAAAATTTCATTTATTTTAGAACTTCAGTTTAAATTCACTTAATTGTCCCTCATGGAACATTTCCCCCATGGAGTTAGAAAATTGAGAAGGAGGATACATTCTATAGGTGTGAGCTTTGCTGAGCATAGGACTCTCCTCTATCTGACCAAGACCCTATATAACCTCCCTCCTCTCTTAACCTTAACCTCGATTTTTAATCCCAGCCACCTGACCCCAAATCCAGCCATCTTTTGAAACTATCCACTTTGAAATTCTCCATTTACCCAACAATGAAGCACAGAGGAATATATACCCCCAAGGAAAGAGTTGCTTGGGTCCGATATCCCTAGAGATAAGGGGAAAGACAAATTCTGCAGGCCTGTTGTCAGGCTTCATACTTCATACTGTGTTGAATCCTCTACTAAATCACACCTGCTTCAGGCTCCAGCATCTATCTCCAAGACTCTGTGTCAGGGCATAGCAGCCTCAGGACAGTTTTAGTAACCAATCACCAAATCTCCCAGCTGGTACCAGCAGAGCGGATCTGGCACACAGTCTGTCATCCCTGTTGATAGAGTAGCAGATTATCACGCAGTGGCCCAGCTGTTTGGACTAACAAAGATCAAATTGAGGGGACTTATTTGCATGTCTAAACAGTAGATGAAAATTGAAAGGGCTACAAGGAGAATTAGGAAAATAAAATGTGGAAGGAGATAGTAGCAGCCACAGCAGCCCTGCTGGACATAGCATGCTAATATAATGATGATGCACACACTCCGGGTTCTGTAAACTCCCTCCTTTCTTTTTTATTTGAGACCGAGTCTCACTTTGTCACCCTCAGTAGAATGCTTTGGCATCACAGCCCCCAGCAACCTCAAGTGGGTTCAAGCAGTTCTCTTGCCTCAGCCTCCCAAGTAGCTAGAACTATAGATGTCCACCACAATGCCCGGCTATCTTTAGAGACAGGGTCTCCCTCTGGCTCAGGCTGGTCTCGAACCATGAGCTCAGACAATCTATCCACCTTGGCCTCCCAGAGTGCTAGGGTTGCAGGTGTGAAGAACCGTGCCTGGCCGTAAACCCCCTTCTTAATTGCTGACTTTTGTGGGGGTTAAAAGATAGAAGAAAAGAAGAAACATGAGCACCATTAACAGACATGTCATGACCCCTTGGTAAGATACAGAGAAGGACAAAACGTCATTTCTATGACATTCTTGCCAAAAATTCATAATCTGAGAGAAAGGAAAACACAAGGAACCCTGGGCCACTGCCACCAGCGCAGCTATGCCACAGTTGCAAGGAACCCCAGGCCGCTGCCCCTCCCTCCTTCCTGCTGGGGGCCTCGGAGTCCTGTTCCAACAATCATATAAAACATGGTGGATTGGCGGTGCCCGTAGCTCAGTGGGTAGCACGCCAGCCACATACACCAAGGCTGGCAGATTCAAACCCAGCCCAGGCCTGCCAAACAACAATGACAACTGCAACTAAAAAATAGCCGAGTGTTGTGGTGGGTGCCTGTAGTCCCAGCTACTTGGGAAGTGGAGGCAAGAGAATTGCTTAAGCCCAAGAGTTTGAGGTTGCTGTGAGCTGTGACACCATTGCACTCTACAGATGGCCACATAGTGAGACTGTCTCAAATAAAAAACAAAACATGGTGGATTACTATCAAGGTCTAGGCATGCAGAGACATGCCTCAGCCAAGGATATTAAAAAGGTGTACCGAAAATTGGCTCTAAAGTGGCACCCAGATAAAAATCCTGAAAATAAAGGAAAAACAGAGAAAATTCAAACAAGTAGCTGAGGTACATGAGATGTTATCAGATCCTACAAAGAGGAACAAATATGGTAAAAGATTAAATGCTGGAGGAGGTGGAAGTCATTTTGACAATTCATTTGAGTTTGGCTTCACATTCCGAAACCCAGAGGATGTGTTCAGCGAATTTTTTGGTGGAAGGGACCTGTTTTCATTCGACTTCTTTGATGACACATTTGAGGACTTTATTAGGAAATGGAGAGGTCTCTGAGGAAGGGAAAACTAAGGAACAGGGTCGTGTTTCTCTGCCTTCACTGGATTTCCATCTTTTGGAAGTGGATTTTCTTCTTTTGAGACAGGGTTTTCTGTGCAATTTCTTACAGGATTTACTTCATTCAGGTTGCTAGATCACCGGGGTTGGGGGGACTCCCTTCATTCTCTTCCACATCATTTGGTGTTAGTGGGATGAGTGACTTCAAGTCTACATCAACTTCTACAAAAATAGTTAATGGCAAAAAGATCACTACAAAGAAAATCATGAAGAATGGTCAGGAAAGAGTGGAAGTTGAAGAAGACGGCCAGCTCAAGTCCCTGACAATAAATGGTAAGGAGCAGCTGCCTTTGGATAACAAGTGACTGAATGCACAGGTTTAACAGAAATGTTAACTGTAACAAACACCATTTGAGGATTAACAGGAACATTTTTTTGAAGATTTAAAATTAACTCAACTTTCAGTATCACTGTACCTAATCTAAGTATTTATAAACCGCTCATCAGAGTCATATTTGTCATAGACTGAGTTTATTGTTGGGACCACATAATAGGACCATTTATTTGTCTTTAAAATTATTCTAAATCTCTGTATGTGCTTTGCTTTTTTACTAAACGTACACCAGGTGATCCCTCAGTAGTGGCAGAAGAAGAGTATGCACTAACCCCAGCATGGACATGCTTTTCCACGGTGTCTGAAATGTGAGCCAAGTCAGCCTGCTGTCAAGATAACACCACAGGATGAATCTTCTACAGAAATAATTTCAGTTTTTTTCAATATTTAGCAGTGAAAGATATTAACACATTAATGGTAATAGATTTCTGGTTTACTATAAATTAAGGACTTTTCTAGCTGTGCATGAATGCTGGCATCTTAGTAAGTTCTGACAGTTGTTTAAATATGTAATGTTAAGGTTAGGTTAAAAAGTAAAGCTGGTATACTAGGTCTTTGTACTTGCTTTAAAAAAAAGAAAATGTCTTTGGTGCATCTTTCCTGAAAAAAAAAAATTCATAACCTCAGTCTAATCATAGAAAACGTCGGACAAACCCAAACTGAGGGGCATTCTACAAATGACTGATCAGAACCCTCCAAAAGTATGGAAACAAGGAAAGACTGAGGAATTGTTACAGACTGGAGGAGACTAAGAGGAAAAACTAAATGTATTATTAAATCCTAGAAAGGACCCCAGAACAGAAAAAGAACACTAGTGGGGAAATTAGTGAAATTTGAACAAGGTCTGTAGTCAAGTTAGAGGTCTTGCTGCCAGTGTAATTTCCTGGCTTCAATAATTGTACAATGGTTATATAAGATGCTAATATTAGGAAAACCTGGGTAAAGGGTGCGCAGGAAAACTAGTATTTTTGCAACTTTTCTCTAAGACTAAAAGTAGTTCAAAATAAAATTCTTTTTTTTTTAAAGAGAAGAATAAATGAGAAAAGGAGAAGAGGAACCACAAAAGCAAAACTATTTAATAAGTTAGCATAGCTCTTGGGGACAATCCCATGATCCTTCTGTCTGCCCACACTATCGAAGACAAGTACCTTACAATGACACTAGTGGAACGGGTGTATGAGAGTACAATAATTGAGGTGATGATACACGAACCACCTATGAAAAACAATCAGACTTGAACTTGAGGTTAAAAGCATGATTTTGGAAGCAACAATTGAGGCTCTGCTGAGAGTTTCTAGTGGGATGATTCAAAATTTGGGATAGGATCAAAATACACAGGTTCTACCTTTTTTTTTTCCCCACCAAACAGTGTTTTTAGGTCCAA